TCTCTCTCTCTCTCTCTCTCTCTCTCTTGCTCTCATTCTCTTTTTCTCTCTCTCTCTCTCTTTCTCTCCGTGTCACTTTCGAGCAGAGAAAGTCGTGCAATTCACGCGGATGCCCGCGCGAACAATTTATGGAAAACTTTAAGACGCTCGCGGTTGCGGATTAAATTAGAAACTGCGGGAATCGCTGTTCCGCCACCATTCCCGATAGGTAATTAATAACAATCTCTGCACTTTCGTTTTCGCGACGGAATATTTATCGTTCGGAGTGTGCTTGGCGAAAACGCGTTTGAATTCGGTGTCCGCGCATGCGCCCGACGGTCGAGCGTCGCTCCTATAGTCAATACAACGGTTAAATTCAGTTATAAATAGTACAGCCTTATCTCGCGACGAAACAAATACGTAGGAAAACAAACCTCGATTTTTTGTATCGGTCGCCGATGCGAAAACGGCAAATGATTGTCGATATAAGACGTTACTTTTATAGAGTTCGTTTGAACTACGCGAATCGCGGACGCCCTACTAGGTCGTCTGCTAGGAACAGCTGACAGCTCGGCCGGACAAAAACGTGGTTACACGAATTCTGCACGGGATGTTTCGTATCCGTCGGTTGCGACCGTCTCGTACGCGAGTTCTCCTTAAAATACCGAGCACGAGGTGCTCGCGTGACGAACGATCGTTTGTCTTTCATCGATCTCGATTCGCAGACGTCTCGGTGAAGGAATGCGTTTTACCGACACGTTTTACCAGACATTATGTAATTTACATAGTTCAGAAAACCCGATGGAACAGCATTTTCTGGGCGATATTCGGGATCGTTGCACGGTCTTGCCACGGGACGACCGTAATAGCTCGTATGACGCGGCGTTAAACGAAATCACGTGCATCGACGCGAATCGTTTCGGGTGTTCCGGAGGGGAGCAGGTTATGTCGGTGTCGACGCGCGGATCGCCCATCGATATTCCGTGAAAAATGAATGAAATGCGAGGATTCTGTCGGCCCGTCGCGATCCACTGACACAGCAGAACCGTACGAACGATGCACGGATCTCGCGCCAACGGTCAACGGTTATCGTAGATAAGATTAGTCGCGGGGTCCACGGCATTGAACATGAAATCAACGTACCTGACAGCATTGAATTAAAGCGCTGGTCTGCTGCTCGATTCTGGGTCGGGACTTGACACATGTCGTCGAAACTTTCCTCCGTAATTGGGCGAAATGTCCGAACTGGCACAATTTCTCTGCACGAGCACAGAGCCTACTCGACCCTATACACGCCATAGCGAAAACTGTAGTGAGGCAAGTTACACGACTCCTAAAGACTTTCGAGTCGGTGCCGAGTCCCACTGCTCCCCACCGACACTTCAAAATTGATTCCCCACCAGGTTTTCCCTTTCCCTTCCCCACCTGCAAATACACCTGCTTCGCACGACATTAAACAGATAGGTATTTAGGTATTGTAAATCTTGAACGCCGTCGATCATCGAGTATTTCGATGAAAAAGTCATTAAACTCGGGGAAACGTTAAATCGATTGCTTATCAGCGACCTCTTTTCCATTCGAGACGGAAACATGAATCAATCGGTTCTTATCAGGACCGCGCGGTGTCCGTTCATATGTTTAAACGGTGTTTAAAATAAATTGTATTTCTTGGAATATTGTTTTATTTTCCGATGCAATTTCTAGTTCTACCGATAAATTACCTGAAACATCGAGTAAATTCGATGAAGCACGATATAGAGTACGAATAACAAAAATACCGACTTAACGAAGCATTAGCTGGTGCAATGAAAATTACCCTTTAACTCGCACATACTAATTTCCATCTGTTTCGTATGTGATTCATGGTCATTCATAATCATGGCTAGCGGTTTGTTAAGGAGAATTTCTCATGCGTTTCAAACGTTTGAACAAACACTTAATATTATTTTCGGTCGAGGATTTCCACCAGGTAATAGGAGCAGGTGTTTCTTTTATTATATTTACTTGGTACCGTGTAACAACACGTTAGAGATAGCGAAACATGGAACCGAGGTTTCCTAGCCTCTAAAGTCGGATCTAAACAAAAATGATTCAAAATAATATTATATACGCATCGTTTAGGAGGTTTGTGTGCGGTCGAATGCAATCACGTTGTGAATCAAACACAACCTGCTTATTCACCTGGGCGGTCTTTAAAGGATATTCTTGACGATGCATTTTTATGGGCTGTACCTAAGAAACGTCGTACGATAGAAAAACGTCTGAATAGAAGATTCGGTTTTCCAGGCCTAAATTGGAAACCGCATGTTCCCAAACAAAACATTTTGATGTGTAGACGTTGCGGTCATGATTACGAAGCTGGTCTACTTTGCGGTGAGACTTGTAGGATAATTACTAACATGAACCCATGCTATTATTATTTTAAATTATAAAATAATTATTTTCCGTTAATGTTCGCAGCATATTGTTATGAAATAGTGAAAAAGGAAACGGAAGAAATGAAAACAGCTATAGAGAATTCATTGGGTTTGGAGCCGATCGAACAAGATGTTCTGGTATTATACGAAGGAGAGAAAGAACGACTGAAAGATGAATATTGGAAGGTACTTGATTTAATTCTATACTCAATTGTAATATATACTTTTAGCAATAATTTCTATTCAAATTTAATAGGCACAGAGAATTATTGAACTACCCAAAAAAAGACCCGAATGGTTCAGTCAGAATTTACTTGAGCCAACCGCGCAAGAACCGTCCGATAAAACTGATGTAAAAACTGTAGAACCACCTATAGTTATAAGTAAAGAATAAATTGTATTATCAAGGTACTTTTGCTTATGCACGACGGAATTAGAGAGAAACAAATAAATTCAAAAAATATTATTTCTATGTTAAAAGTAAGATATCGACTATCCTTATTTTTTTAATGTAGTTTGGTTACCATTGTAACCTCGGTAATTTACTTCTCTCCTCTATCGTCTCGGCTTAAAACAAAAAAATACATGTCATATTATTAACAATCTTATCGACTATCTGTATAAGAAATTAATTCTTTTCTCTATACTGCATTTTTCTTTATGCTCGTACTTTGTTTTCATTAAATCTTAACTGGGTCAACAGTTTGCAAAATTCATTAATGAAAAACATGTCTAATCCTGATAAAGTTAACACACTTGCAATCAGCATATATATATATAGTATTTACATTTATCTTTCGTCTTTAAAAATAATCTTTCATGGAATTAGCTAAGAAATTAATTATGTGAGATTGTTATCGTTATTTGTGTTTTCAATAGTTGTTAGTGAACGATTTCGACACCATCGATAGACATATCTTCGTTAAAATGGCTCAGAACATGCTCGTGAAATACTTCGAACGGTATAACTTTCCCGTAAAAAGATCCGCACAATGGACAAATTTTATTGTCTTGTTCAGGACTATCTGCTGAATTAGAACATTTTTCTAAAGGTAGGCTCGAAGTTTGGAGGCTGGTCTGAGTTGCACCATGCTCTTTGAAACTTTCATCGGAGTCGAATTGTGTCCCTGCTTGACACATCTTCTTGCTCGCATTCATACGACAGTTATTACACATTGCCCCTATAAAATTAATACTTAGGATTCCTCAAATTTCTTTCCGGTTTTTACACGTTAATTCACATACCTTCTTTCATTTTTTGAAAATATCGCAGTGCTCTCTTTAATTTCGTTTGCTGCGATAGTAAGGTATTTTTGATTTGTATCAATTTAGTATCGTGCTGTTTAAGTATTTCTAAGTCTGTATCAGAATTTTCGGGATAAGTGAAGCCAATTTTCTGTAAGTTCCCCTCAGTATTATTTTGCAGTGCGGCTATCTATCGATTGAACAATCGTTTTATTCATAGTTCATAAGAGTTATCACGTTCGTAACATGTTCATACTTACCTCGGCATACTGTTGTTCAAGGTCGGATTTTTCCAACATAATACTATTGATAAGCCTTAAGGATATTTCTTCCAAGCTTTGTTCTCTTTCACCTGAAAATGTACATGCGACTCATAAATAGATGCATATGTTCTCTGTAATAAATGACTGGCGAGTACAAACCATTATCTGTAATTAATGGTTGATCTTTTTGTTGAATGCATTGAGAAACATTACAAAATTTATAAGACTCGTAGTCCGATGGCTTAGCAGGAGAATGTTGCTTAAGTGTATCAGAAATTTTTGTCAATTGACTACCTAATGATTTATTAATTCTCGTTAATTTTGTTAATCGTTTCCACAATTGTCGATTTTCTGCTGCTACCATAAAAATCTGGTGATTCAACTGGGACTTTTGCATGCTCAAATCCTCCACTTTTTCCTGTCGATTAAACTATATTTAGTATTTCTTAAGTATAACGTATCTGCTTGAAAAATATGGATATTATAACAGTTATGTATGAATATACGAACCCTCAGGGTTTCTAAAATAGTTCCCTCATTATCGTGTTTTGCTTTTACGATCGCTGCAGACTCGTCTTTGCCACATTCAAGTCTTAAAAACTTATTTTCTTCTTCAACAGTCGCTAATCTAGTTTCCAACTGCCGACAACGTTCGTTCATGGTTTTTAATGCAACTAGCATTGCATAATGGGAACTAAGTTTCTCGGTTTCTGGATTCTCCGATTGTTCCATGTCATTCATAACAGATCAATGTAGTTGATAAAAATAGTAAACACAATCTTATAATTTATCATACAGTCACTCTTGTCAAAGCAGATATTTCTCATAGTAATTAAAAAATTACCGTTGTTTATTTGTATTTAAAATTCACTTAGAATCTTTAAACGAATAATAATAACCAAGGTTAGCAATCACTAAATATTAAATAAAGGTTAAGTTCTTGTACATCCTAACAAACTGAATCGGTTGTACGTTTCAATTCATATCGTCTGGAAATCTTGAATTTTGTATCTAATGGCAATAATGTTATTAATGGTAACGATAGACATCAGCACGACTCAACAATAAATGCATTTGAAGTTAATAATCGGTGAATTCCCTTGTTAGTAACCATCTCAAAACTTGAAAATACACAGTTGATAATTATTATTTCATTACTAAAGCTCAACTTCTACCTTTTTATTAATTTCTACATGCAAAAAAAGCCATGGTGATCTCGATTACATATTTATTTTACCAAATTTTGACAGTTGTTTTTAAACACTACATATCCCGAAGATAATCAACGTACGTACATATTATCTTTCGTTATATAGGGTGACCAAAAATATTTCACGAATTTTCCTGGAGAAAATTACTACAATAACAAACGTACATAGGCACGAATGTGAATACGTATACGAAGAATATGTGTACTGGCTTCTTTCAATCATATATTATACATATTCATTTGTACAAGGAAAATTGAGATGTTACCCGGTATTACACAACATGTAAATGACAGCACAGATGAGTAAACTATACATTAAATTTTCGTCGGTCGCTTTTATGGAGTTTAAAGTCCAATTGTCATCTTTATATCTAACGGAGCGTTGTCAATAGAATAGCGTTTATTGCGATAAGTATAGAAACTGTAAAAAAAACTATTCTTCTTAAGATTTATTTTAAGCCGATGTGGCCGTAAGTTACACTGTAAATGTTGGCAAGAATCATTCGCTTTATTAAATCTGAATTTAGCGCCATTCTTCGTAGCGGCAGAATCCTCAAACTGCCAAAAAGTTTTCACTCGATCATTGTAAATGGCGCCACCATGAACTTTAAGCGGTAAATAAAGCAAATCATTTCTGCTGCTTTCATTGTAGATGGCGTCACCATAAACTTTAAGCGGTAAATAAAGCAAATGATATCTGCTGCAGTTTATACAGTGTTCCGTGGCTGGTTCAGTAAGAATCATTTGTAGTTGCAATAAATACTCGGTAAACAAACATTTTGGGATTAAATGAATCCAGGAAACTCTCCCGAACATTTTTGTACCTTCGGAATATTTTTAAACCCTTAAATTGCCAAGTTTTATAGCAGCTTCTGTAAATGTATTTTGTACATAGGCACTTATATGGCATAGACTAGTTCGAGCATTTCGCCGCTATGTGACTATAGTGTTCCTGTGCTCGTGAACACAGATTTCAAAAACCTGTTTTCATATATTTTTATATCTTTTTTTATGCTATCATTCTCATATGTATTTACACACGATAAATATTGGATGTTCAGATTTTAAATATCTACATTCGAAGCTTTCTTTCTTTGAAAATACATAGATTTTGTATAACTATACTAATATACGATCGTTATATCATTATGATTACTTGTTAATATTTTCGTGCTTTGGCTTGTAGACTTCTCGTTCTAAAGTATCTTCTTGTCGATAAAAGAAAATACATCGTATATTTTGGCAAGCAAATAATTCTGAAATCGTGGAGTAAAGAGAATTAAATTTTCAAAGATGAACGGATTAAAACCCTTGCGCCGTATTAAATATTTAACGAGATTTCTATTATCGTCCTCCACAAATTTAATATTTGAAAATATTCTATTAATTATGTAAAATGGAACATGCTTCCAAAAAAGTTTCGATTCCGGATATTCCAGAGACGTATGAACATTTTTATGACGCATCGACTTTTGTTCCCGAAGCACGTGTATTTGTGCAAACATTGCGTGTAATGTCCGTTTATTTGTCCGCTGTCAATAGTGGATCTCCGTGGAACTAAAGTCTGTAGATTTAAATATCTCGCAAAGCCGACGCTCGCAAAGACAATCCGAAGAAAATAGAAAAGATAATAACAATAACAGTTTACTGCCTGTATTAAAATTGCGATTACGCGATTTGCATTCGTAGAGCATTTTCGAATATGCAAACCGTCGCGCGTTGGCATAAAAGAAATCATCTCTCGACCATGAGAGAAAATTTGTTGCGTGTTTATACTGCTGTATATTTGTCGCGGCGACGACAAGACACGACACGACACGACGGTGCACAAAAGAGAGTAGGCATTAAGGAGACAATAGACTCCGGACGCGAAAGAGCGCGCGTTTAGCATTCCGGTTGACGATGATGGGGCGCATTTTTGTGAATAAAACATCGAGTCGATGCCGCCTAGGCATCGTCCCGGTAGAATTTCTCGGATATGGGAACCATTCGAATGCTCGATAATCGCGGAACACGGATCGTCCAACGATTTCGCAAAAACTGGAACCGTAAAAATGTAAATCCGTGCGATCAATGCGAGAAAAACCTTTGCGACGTGCGCGTGACGTCGGATCGTGCGTATGAAACTCGAAGTTGGGGGGAAGGCCTTAAAAATCTCTACCGAGGCGTCGTTAAAGCAGGAATGTCGATACAACTATAATGATAGCTGGCCTCCCGTAGGGATCAAGGTCTTCGCGAGTCCTTGGTCCGACGTCAAGACCGCGGTAGGATCGCTGGTACTAACACGAATGTATTAGCCGGGGCGTGAAACGCCATGCTGCCATGCTCGGCAGAAAAATCCGCCACGAATATCCATGGTGTATCCATGGAATATCCCGCGCGTTTCGCTGAAAACGAAAACTGGTTTACCGTCGCTTCGTCTCGGCCGACCTTGTCTTTTCCCTCGCGAAATGTGTCAGTGCCATTGTTGGACTAGACGAGACGACCGGGCTCGTTTCCCGATGCTGATTTATGCCGTCGCCGTCCGACTATGTCAATTTCCCCGAGCCCTCCGAGATTAGCTCGGAGTTCGGAGTACCGCGGATACGGAGATTGCGTCCGTCCGCGAAAGAGTCACGCGGGAAGTCCGAGCTCGAGCATTTGAGAGCACCGTATCTGGTGCGATAATTTCTTGAACGGGAAACGACGATTGCACGGGTCGAGCAACGTATGCAAACATTACCGCAGAAACTGTAAAAGACAGAGTCCACACTTATGGTTTGTAACAGTTCAAACACGGTCGCCCGTCGCAAAGTTTCGATCATTAGCACCATGCTAAAAATACTTTGCCAAGGAAATCGTCTATTCGGATAGAACACGCTGGTACGAAAGAGATCGCAGAACCATAAATCTCGACTTCCGAGTCGTCGTTCTACCGAATAAATTGCTTCGATTTTATCTCGGTTCGATGGTTATTGGTCGTCCAATTAGTTTAGCGCGCGGATACATTGCACCGCGCGAACAATTGTCGCGGAAAGTAGACGAGCGAACGCGTGAGTCACACCCCGTTGCTAACAATGAATCGTAAAATCCGCGGCGGTTCGTCGGCCACAGCCGAAACGGACGATTTTTATGGGTTCGCATCGTTGAATTTCTTCCGATGGAAAACACGGTCTCCGCCACGGATTACCGCGCTTCCTGCCGCGGCCGGTGAAATTGAAAGTGTTCCTAATTCACGACGATCCCCGGGCTCTTTCGGTTCTTCGCGCCCCTCTAATCGTCGCGCGAAGAAAGTAAATAGCCGTTGCGTAATTTCGGCTGCGAGAAACGAGCAGATCGCCGCGCCGGTTTCCTGAACTCGATCGGTCCCTCCATCGCTGTTAGGCTCGGTTTCGCAACCGCTTCTTGCCCCTCGCGATTTAGTCGGGATCGGACGGGAGACGACGATCTTTCTGCTTCGATCGCGATCGAACGCGGAGGATCGTTGATCGATTCCGGGTCGATCGTTTTCGCGCGCGATCGACGATCTTTCTTCCGGTATTATGGAGACCGCTTTCGTCGTCGATCGATCATCGCGATCGATTCGATCGTCGCGATCGGGCGCGGCGATCGTCGTCGTTCGATGCGCGCCGAGCGACGCCTGTGAACTCTGCTCGCGAACACGCTATAATTTAACGCGTTTACGTAACCGTGCGAGGACAACGAGTGATTTCGCGGATTTCGGCCGGGATCGTTGCCGCGTATCCTTGGCTAGATCCTGGAATTTTTTCGGAATAACTTGAAGCCTCGAGCGTGAGCTTACCGCTCGGTCAATCTCGTGGATCGTGTCGAAACTCGCGCGATTAAGATCCAAGTTTCGATTCGAATTACGATCTTTAACGTTGCCCGGCCGGGCGACGGTTTATCGACGATCATCGGGTTTTCAATAATATTTGTCGACGAGGAGGTCTTGCCAGTCTCGTTTCTTACGTCCATTTCTTACGTTCGACAATTTCATCGCGTCGGACGCGTAAACGGCAACATTTTAATGAACACATTAAAAGTTTCTCTCGAACGATTTTCACACGCGTCATCGTCGGCGAACGCGTACGCGCATTTCCGCGAACGCGACACATGCAGATGCTGGGGGGAAAAAAAGATAATGAACCGTTCCAGATAAATGCGACAGGATGATTAGCAACAAATGCAAAGAGACGGGAGCTGATATTCTATTGTACCCTTTTTTGCTGTACATTTAATTGTCGCGTCGGAAGTCATAAATAAGTCAACCTGTGACGGAACGTATTCGCAATTTTCAGACCAGCGTAGAACTGGTTAGCGACTCCGAGAACCGTAAGCTCGGTCTTCCCGCGCCTTCTTTTGCTACGAAACAGACGATAGCGCAATATCCAGAAACATTCGGATGCTAGCGTGTTTGTCTCGCTCCGATGATGTTTTAAACACTGTTGCAATATGCTCGGTTCGCGCGTCGATGTCAAAATCTCGAGAACGGCGCGTATCCGTGGTACGAGTTTCATAGTTCGGCGCGTCGACGAGAAAGTCATTAAGACACCTTGCTCACAGATCTCTTATCAGCCACGATTTCCGCGCCGTGCGCCGATGTTTTAGCGGCAACAGGCCCGGAACACCGTAAATTACTCGCGTCGAAATTGGTTTTCCACCGCGAACGATCTATCCACGGAACAGGCTCCATTGTTTTCGAAACTCCGAAACAGCGGTGATCGTACAAGCTGCTCGAAACTCGGCGCATACGATAAAACGTGTAAAAAGTTCGAAAAGCTGTCGAGTCGATTTTCTGTAAATTAATTCCTCGCAGACCCGTCTTCGGAACCGAGAATTGTTCAGCAAATAATTGTCGATGAGACAAGAACGCGAATCAATGGACTACGAGGATCGTTAATTAAACGATTAATTAATGGCTCGCAGCAATTTAAATTCCAATCTTGGATCGCAGCCATTTTTTACACACGCGATTGTTTTCGTTTAGCTACAGTTGGCAAAATATCGCAAGAATGGTCGCCTTGAGTCGGGTTTAAAGTGATATCTACGTATATATATTGATAATTGCGGATGCGATAATTAGTACCGTACATATCGAGTCGCGAGAGAATTTGCATAATTGCGATCCTGAAAAGAAGCCGAGAGGCCACTGGCGACGCGCATCTCGCATCTGGATGCCGGAAGTAGTACGTTTTCAGCATGGAACATCGGGAATAACGACGTGTTTTCTACACGGTAATAAGTTACCGCGATTAGTTCGCGAGAAAAAGTAACTGGAAGGCGTCCCCCGCTCCTAAATAACGTTAGGAGCAAAAATTCTTGCGACACTTGTTCGAGCGTCCAGCTTTTCCTTTTAATTCGGAAAGAATTTTCCGAGACAAGTATGTACCATTAAACAAGATATCGCTATTATACAAGTGAAAAATCACAGTTAAACGCTGAAATCGATATTTGACCGCTCAACGAACCCGGAAAGTTCAATTTGCGTTTCAAATGGTTTGACACAATATTCGCCACCGATGGTGGACGTTGCGCTTTCCCGGCGGCGAATGAGAGGCTAATTTTCGTTCTGTAATTTATTAACGAACTCGACGCGTCACGTAATCGCGTATTCGATGCTTTTTTCCCCTCTTTTTCCGCCGCCTTTTTCAGCGCGCACGCTGCTAAAAACAGATTATCTTCGATCAGCAGCTGTCAACAGAGTAATCATAATAATCACGGTGTAATCGCGAGTTATAATTACCCCGATTGGATGTAACTGCTTCGTCGAGACCCGATGTCTCGTTTCTGCCACCGGGGACACGTTGTTCCACGATACTAGAATATCCGTACCGCGTGACTCAACGCTCCGCAATCCGCGGAATCGCGTTTCGTTGCTGGGAAAACAAACCGTTGAACAGTGAAAGCAAACCTCGAAGCGACAAGACCAATTTCTACCTTCGCGGACCCGTTAGAAGAACAAAAAACGCGTATGGATTATTATTACTACACTACAAGATTACGCAATTTCTCTGGCAGAAAATTTCTTAATAGCTTCAAACATCTGTTTTTCGCTAGCAAAGAATATACTCGATGAAAGAGTACAATACATTATTCGATACGGTGGACTGTTTTTAATTTCACACCGATGTATTTGAAATTAGAGCAGCCTTTGCCGACAACGTGCAAATTTTAATAGTCTCGAAGTTCAAATATGATTTCGATCGCGAAGTTACGCGAAGCCGATCGCGTAAGTGTAAACAAAGCCCGTGGAGAAATGCAGTTTGGCAATAATCGTTGGCAAACCGCCGATCCGATTTCTAGTCCAATTCCTCTGTGTTTAATACCGGGCAACATTCGTGCAACGAAGTTCCGTGCATCGAACCTGCTTTTTCAGCGTTAAACTGATTCACGTTAAGCAGTCTAAGTGATTGGCGACCTGCGCGACATGCTGCGACGCACCGCGCCGCGCGAAAATTCGCTCGAGCCGGCCGGCCGGTGATTTCAATGCTTGGCGAAAGAGTTCGGCGCGTGCGATTTGCATAATAGCTCCGCGCTAGGTCTATGGAAAAAGTGTAATCGAGTCGTGAAATACTCGTTCTCTTAAGAACGGTTCTTGCCCCAAAATTGCCAGTTTTGAAAACAGAACGAACGAGACAAAAATCCGCAATTTTCGAGATTTGTTAATACTACGTTATTTTAACGTATGAAAAACGCGCCCACTTAACGCGAGTTCCACGAATTCTGTAATTCCGAACGATTCTACAATTTTCTAGTATCCAAACACGTTTCCCATTATCGATCGAATCGACGAAGATTTCATTCAGATTCAATTCCACATTGTCCCCACAACACAAAGATCAACTTTACGAGCTTTCGACGATAATTCGCGGGTCGGAGATCTCGCCGCGCGACTTACGAAAACGATTGCATCCTCGTGGAATCGTGGCAACGGAGCAGGCAGTCGTTGAAGCGTCGTCGCGCATTCGCGATGGTCGTTTAGACCCGGGGAATTCCACGGAGCTCGAAAAAAAAGCAAACCAGACCACAGACGCCGCGTCGCCCCGAGCCGAGAAGAAAGAGCGAGCGATCCGAACGGACGCGGACGTCGTCGCGGACTTTTCGGGCGAACGGATGCCGAATCCGCGGCGGTGCCCTGGAAAAATCGTCGACTCGCGAGACAACGAACATTTACGCCTATTTAGAATAGCCGGGCAGGTTCTATCCCCACTGCGATCTGGCCGTTCTAGCGACGGTGCCCCGGCCCCGGCACGGGCATGCCGCGGCACCGGGACGGGACGGCTTCGACGGGTTGCACAAGCGTTGGATTCTCCATCCTGCAACCCGCCGAGTCAGTTCACAGTGGCAACGCGATCGAGCCGCTCGTGGCACCGTGCGACGCCGGCTTCTTTGGCACCGATCATCCTCTAACTCGGACCGGACGTCTTCGGGACAGTTCTTCTGCGGACGTTGCCTGATCGGTGCTCGAACCGTCTCATTCGCCGATCACCCCTTGACCGAACCTGTGGGTCTTCCTTGGACCTGGACACCGATCGCTTGGATCTCGAGTGTCCGGAGAACTTAGGAATACGGTTCAGGGTTCTCGGTTATTCGGTTCTTCTCTTCGAAGAGAAGCGTTTCGAACGAGGACTGCCGGAACATCGAGACGTTCGAGGACCTCTTTGCAGGAACTACAGAACTTCGCGACGGTTCATCTCGAGGTCTGCTAAAGCCGAACCGAAGGATCGACGGAACGGTTCGCTGGAACGAAAAGGATTCGGTCCGATCGCACGATCCAACTAGATCCTAAGTTGTCGGCCATCGGCGAGCGTCTCGCCGGAGGGACAAAGAGCGTCGTTGTTCCTCGAGAGGGTGAACAAAGAGTTTGATACAGAAGCTGGGAGCAATTAGAGGCATCGCTCTCGGTTCCTGCGGATAACACCAGAACTGGTCTGCGTGGGCAACCTGGTCACCTTGGGTGCTCGAGGGGGTCGCGACGAAGCGGTCCAAGTGGAATCTTCCAAGACCAAGCGGCGGTCGAGATATCGCGAAGGATGAACGTCGGGTTGTTAGCAGTGGCGATCGAGTTCGTGCGGTGTAATTGATTCGAGAACAACAAGACGTGGATTTATCGTTGCCGATCGTGTCTTTGGTAGCCGAGGAACGGAGTTTGCCGTCGTTGGAACGTGTTACAGGTTAGTGCGCGTCGAGACCATGTGACGAAACTTGCTGGAGATTTCTCTCGAAAAGCTGAACCGAACTCGTGGAACATAACATTCCATGACAGTTGGATATAATCCGTGTACATTGTCGTTCGAGACCCTATAGAATTCCGAATGCCTTGTTTTCCTCGTCGAGTGATTTAATCCGCGCCTCGTTAACAGCTTCTCGACGCAGCGTTCGATTCGTTGGTCTCGTTTGTAGCGATCGCTTCCGTTCGAGCGTCCCGCGAACCACGGAGGCGGTGCTTTTAAGCGAACTTTGTCTTAGATTTCTCTGCAATTGCTCGAGCTAATTTCCTTACCGAAATATCTCGTGCTTGCAAGCACGAATCGCAAGCGTACGTGTGCGCCGGTTGCGAAACGTTTTTACTCGACCGGGTGAATCAACGAAACGTCGATGCGATACGATATTTCATAAGCCTAACGAATGTCGCAAGAGCAGCTCGGATTCGATTGTTAACGATTCGCAATTTTAATCGCGCGCTGCTTGCGATCGCACGAGAAAAACACGGAACGCGAGAAGAAAACGCGGAATACGTTTAACGCGAAAAAAGTTGGCCTTAGGCGACAGTTTGCTATACGAATAAGAACTAATCGTATCTAAGTTCTTGAATAAGTAACTGAAAAAAAGTCGCCGCAAAACACGGCGAGAGTGAGGATTGCTCCGCATCGTCCCTGTCGGTTAAACATTAAATCCCGACATCTTTGAACCGTGCGATGCGTGCGGTATGTTTTTCGCCTTTACGCGACCTTTGCCGGTCGCATTCAATGCAATGATCTACGTACGGCGGCACTGGTACACGTGGAACGCGACAGCGAAAAACGATTATGGAAATATAGACCGATGATAAATCGCCGATCGTAAATTTGCATTTTCGGTAATTACGCCGACGTGTCGGCGACAAGCCGTCGCCGGCTCGAAGAAAGAGAACGTTACGGCAATTTACGTTTTTAAAGAAATTTAAGAGACAGATTTATGCGCTTTTTCCACGTTTCGACGTTAAAACGATACGTCAACGTTACGACAATTTAAAAATCTATTCAGCGACGTCTTCATTCAACGACTTTGTAGCTTCTTTTTTTTATCCGCTCGCTGCTTCAGAACTTCTGACAAATGGCGCTTGTAATGATTGATGCCGTTTCATACTTTATTTTGGAATGCTTTGAGATCGTTAAAATAAATTGAGATCGCGCGGAAGGGCAAATAATCTTTCCATAAACGTGCACGGCAGAACTTTGAATTAAGCTAACAAAATACGGTAAAATTATGTAAGCGCGCTAACTTGAATTTTTAAAAAACACTTTGCGGTAGCATTTTAACGGAAACGGCGCTTGCAAACGCTCTCAACTGCAAAACGAGCGGCCTATGAAACGCTGAAAGAATAAATTGTATTTTTAAAACAGTGACAAGCAAAGTTTCCATTAACAGTGCAACTCGGTAGTCGATGATTGACGAGAGCTTTTTTATTTTCCACGATTCCGAGCAATGATGCGCAACCTGTTGATCATAATTAGCCATGTTAATGGTTGCTCGCCTCGATCTCGATCCTTGAGGGAAAAAGCTAGCGGTTCGCGGACAATTTTATAACAGTGTTCGCAGAAGTCTCGGACGCAAATTGTAACGAGCATCGTCGCGTATTCGGTAAACGTTTTGCGATCCAAGGATCGCAACGACAATAAGAAACGAGATTACGAAGCCGAGACACTTAGATCTTCATTGGCATAACGCAGTTTCCGGGACTCGCTTACGTAAGGGACGCTCTCGACGCATTTTTCTTCAAATTGGGAATAACAAACTGCCGCGGTGCATGCGTTGCATATCGCGAACAGACCGCGGGAAATTGCGATCGTAGTTGAATGTTTTTAGTAAATTAATTCGCATTAAAAATATTTTGCAGTAAAATGCGAAGAGCGATGCCACGAGCATCGGTTTCGCGCCAAGATCATTTTTCAAGAACGTTCGGAATTCGTAAATTCCTAATTCGACGAACGAATTTTTAACCTTGCATTCGGTAAATTCTCTTCGATCGTCGCTCAAATTCTGTTCGATTTTCCACTCGATGTTTCGAACCGTAAGAGCGGTTCGGAGCGGAGGGAATTATTCGAACGTCGAACCGAAGCTTGCCAGACCCGGTAACATATTTTCCTGGTTTCATAAGGATTTCTCTCCCATCGCCTTTACCCCTTGCCCGCGGTTGCGAAAGATGCATCTAAGGTTACCTCTAATCGCTTTCCTTTTCTTTGGACTTTCGCGCGAGTATACCGCCGGTTAGGCTGTGTCTCTTTTACAGTGAACTTGCACACCGTCCCCCCGTCCCGTCCCGCGTCGCGTCGACCTCCCCGCGCAAGGAGACCGAGGATATTTGTCAATCCTTTTGACCGGCGAGGCCGCAACTTCTTACGATTCTCTGCGACCGGTAAACACGATCATGTTTCTCATGATTATTCATTAGGACGCTTTATTGTCCGCGCCATTACACCGTGAAATATTTGTTGACAGCAAGTTTGTTCTGCACGCTGCATTTCGAAGCCTGTTCTGTGGCGCACGCGGAAATCATCGGCTACTTTATGGTCAGCGAAATGTTTCTGTACTTTGAGATCTGCCAGTGGCTCGTTCTCGAAACGATAAGCTTCGGACGAAACGGAGATCGTTTTGGGAACGTCTTCGTATTTTTCGAAATTTATAAAATATGTAGAACTACGGGCAATTTTTCAGTTCAGCGAAGTATTAACGTGCTTTATTATTCGATCTATATGGTAAATGATGTTTAACCCTAGAAAGATAACCATATGACAACGTACGTAAAAGATAACCATACGCTTCAGAGGCGCATGCTTTTCTAAGGCGTCAATTTTATACTAACAATGGATATTTATTTAAGTTAATCTAGTCATTTTAAAGGTTTGGCATTATTGTAAAAATAAAATGCATTTATATTATATTTTTTTATATTTTAAGTAATTTTAAACTTAAATCACTAGACCTCTATGAAAAATTAACAAAAATCAACAGTCTTCGCAGGCGCCTNTGTAATGATTGATGCCGTTTCATACTTTATTTTGGAATGCTTTGAGATCGTTAAAATAAATTGAGATCGCGCGGAAGGGCAAATAATCTTTCCATAAACGTGCACGGCAGAACTTTGAATTAAGCTAACAAAATACGGTAAAATTATGTAAGCGCGCTAACTTGAATTTTTAAAAAACACTTTGCGGTAGCATTTTAACGGAAACGGCGCTTGCAAACGCTCTCAACTGCAAAACGAGCGGCCTATGAAACGCTGAAAGAATAAATTGTATTTTTAAAACAGTGACAAGCAAAGTTTCCATTAACAGTGCAACTCGGTAGTCGATGATTGACGAGAGCTTTTTTATTTTCCACGATTCCGAGCAATGATGCGCAACCTGTTGATCATAATTAGCCATGTTAATGGTTGCTCGCCTCGATCTCGATCCTTGAGGGAAAAAGCTAGCGGTTCGCGGACAATTTTATAACAGTGTTCGCAGAAGTCTCGGACGCAAATTGTAACGAGCATCGTCGCGTATTCGGTAAACGTTTTGCGATCCAAGGATCGCAACGACAATAAGAAACGAGATTACGAAGCCGAGACACTTAGATCTTCATTGGCATAACGCAGTTTCCGGGACTCGCTTACGTAAGGGACGCTCTCGACGCATTTTTCTTCAAATTGGGAATAACAAACTGCCGCGGTGCATGCGTTGCATATCGCGAACAGACCGCGGGAAATTGCGATCGTAGTTGAATGTTTTTAGTAAATTAATTCGCATTAAAAATATTTTGCAGTAAAATGCGAAGAGCGATGCCACGAGCATCGGTTTCGCGCCAAGATCATTTTTCAAGAACGTTCGGAATTCGTAAATTCCTAATTCGACGAACGAATTTTTAACCTTGCATTCGGTAAATTCTCTTCGATCGTCGCTCAAATTCTGTTCGATTTTCCACTCGATGTTTCGAACCGTAAGAGCGGTTCGGAGCGGAGGGAATTATTCGAACGTCGAACCGAAGCTTGCCAGACCCGGTAACATATTTTCCTGGTTTCATAAGGATTTCTCTCCCATCGCCTTTACCCCTTGCCCGCGGTTGCGAAAGATGCATCTAAGGTTACCTCTAATCGCTTTCCTTTTCTTTGGACTTTCGCGCGAGTATACCGCCGGTTAGGCTGTGTCTCTTTTACAGTGAACTTGCACACCGTCCCCCCGTCCCGTCCCGCGTCGCGTCGACCTCCCCGCGCAAGGAGACCGAGGATATTTGTCAATCCTTTTGACCGGCGAGGCCGCAACTTCTTACGATTCTCTGCGACCGGTAAACACGATCATGTTTCTCATGATTATTCATTAGGACGCTTTATTGTCCGCGCCATTACACCGTGAAATATTTGTTGACAGCAAGTTTGTTCTGCACGCTGCATTTCGAAGCCTGTTCTGTGGCGCACGCGGAAATCATCGGCTACTTTATGGTCAGCGAAATGTTTCTGTACTTTGAGATCTGCCAGTGGCTCGTTCTCGAAACGATAAGCTTCGGACGAAACGGAGATCGTTTTGGGAACGTCTTCGTATTTTTCGAAATTTATAAAATATGTAGAACTACGGGCAATTTTTCAGTTCAGCGAAGTATTAACGTGCTTTATTATTCGATCTATATGGTAAATGATGTTTAACCCTAGAAAGATAACCATATGACAACGTACGTAAAAGATAACCATACGCTTCAGAGGCGCATGCTTTTCTAAGGCGTCAATTTTATACTAACAATGGATATTTATTTAAGTTAATCTAGTCATTTTAAAGGTTTGGCATTATTGTAAAAATAAAATGCATTTATATTATATTTTTTTATATTTTAAGTAATTTTAAACTTAAATCACTAGACCTCTATGAAAAATTAACAAAAATCAACAGTCTTCGCAGGCGCCTTTGCGACGTAGGTTATCTTTCACGGGTTAATGTTCCCAAGACTCGGACGAGACCGAGGCGACAAATTCTGGGAACGTTTTTACACGTTCCCCACAGGGTGTTTCATAATTGTGTCAACATCCGAAACGGTGTTCGTCGGGTCTTGAGGTCTTGAGGTCGTTCGAAGTAACTCTTTCCTTGGCGAAAATGAAATGAACTGTGTAAAAAAGATTACGATTTCTCGGTGTATCGTGAAACGATCTATGAAATTCACGGTCCATCGTTCATCGATTTCCGATTAGAGCATGGTTCGTAAAATCGTCTGGAACAAATCACCGCGCGGACAAAAAGCTGGCGACGCTTAAACCACTTTATATTTTTCTCGTTTTTAACGTCGTTCGACTCTGTTCGTATAAAGTTTTTAAACGAGTAATAATTACGCTGATTGAAATGTGCATACTTGCCTGGCGCATTAAAAACGAGTTAACCGCGGGCAATCGCGTTCGAAAGTGTTCGCGAGTATCGCGAGTTTTGGGTTAATTAGCCCGAAGCTGGATGCTGATCGCCGATCTCGAATTAGCTGGCCAACCTCCTGTAACGTTGCACGGTCGCGATCGTGTGTTAGAAATTTTCAGGTAAAAGCGAGCCGGAATAATACGAGCACGATATTTACCGTAGGCTTCGTTTGTATTCGCGATAACAGAGCAGCGCGCGTATGTTCCACTTTTTAAATCGCGTTACATATTGCTTCAGGAAGTTATGTAATTCCAGGATGCCGATCTATAAAATTCAAATGCCGCGTAAAAGTGCCATAAATAAAAACAAAGTGCTGCGCGACATTTGAACGTACCGAGTACACGTGTATTCTTACGAACGCTCGAAGGCAGAATACCGTATCGCTAAATTCGAAGTCGTATAAATTTTCTCCGGGTTGCACAATGCGCATGCAAATGCTTCGAATCTTTCCTTTCATCGGGAAAAAAGTCTACCGGTCCGCAACGAGACGAGCGATTCGTGTCTCCGAATCATTCCGCGACGCCGTTTCTTTTTCGCTAGATTCGTATGCTCGCGGATGCAATATTTTAGTTATCATCTTCGAAAATAGTATAGAACGCTGTTTGTATTCGCGATACGAAATGTCAAAACGCAGTCACGTTGCGTCACGTCCGTCGAAGCCACCGACAACTCGACGCAGCCGCCTCGTAATTAACAAATTTCACGTGTTGCTCGGTGGCCCAACGTTTCGTCGAAGCAATTGGAAAATAAGTCTACAAAAGGAAAAACGATGATCCGACGTTTTCGATCGGTTGCGCAACCCCTTAACTGCATTATAACGCACGGTCGATAAAAAGAAGTGCACGCTCCGATCTTTCATAACGTGAGCACAATATGCATCGCTATAGTAAACATAATACGGTGTAGGATTGCATCGAGTCTTTTGTAATCATTATAATCGTAAGCGTGCAAACGTGTATAATAAATAAATGTGTACGCGATATGATGTATAAATAGAGAATCGTAATACAAAAAATTGCGCGAACTCTTTGTCCGAGTTGAACCGTGAGCATAATGATCGTTTACGTGGTGCACATATTCGTAAACTGGGTCATCGGTTTCGCCAAAACATAACCCGCGTCCCTGGAGCGAATCCAACGCGTATCAGCGATCGGAACCAGACTCCTCGGGTTGCGTAACAAGGTCGATCAGTTTTTCGAAAACGAAAGTGGAAGAGAAAAGGGAGCGGGTTCGCTTCGGACTACGGCTAGCATAGCCACGGTCGGCTGGACCAGCTGGACATAGGTGAGAGTTTGTTACGACATTACGTCACAAACGAATCGCGCGACGCCGCTTATTACGTACGAATCGGCGACGATTACCTCGCCCTTCGCGATTCTACGTGCGGAGATTTTTTTTTCGACTGTCTTTGTATCCACGTGGACCACCTCGGAGACTGTGTCGGACGCGCTCTATCTTTCCGTCGAGTCGAAACGTCGAGTCCGCGTTCGACAGACGATTCGATGCGGGACGAAGCAACTTTTGTCCATCGTTTTTTAAGAGACATTTTCTTCCGAAATCGTAGAGGTTTTTACGAAGTACTCTAGATCCTGGAGAACATCGAAGCTCGTCGAAACATCTTCGGATCCAATGAAACTCTTTCGAATTCTCTTTCGGAGCATCTCAAAGAATTATTCTGAATAATTATTCTGAATGAATTCTTCTCAATTATTCTGAAGGATCTTTCGAGAAAAATGTCGAAGGTAGGATTTTTAGATGACTTTGAAGCTAATCTTCAGACGTTGTTCTACCCGTTTCACTTGGAAACGTGCTAATTGCAAAATACATTTTCAGTGCTACGTGGATATTATCCGATCTGTGTCGTCATTCGGCTGTTCGCAGAATAGTTGAGACGTTAACGCCGAACGACTCGCGTTCCCTGTGTAGAGATTTGTGAGAGTGCACGTGGCTCCGAAACGACCAAACCCAGGTGTAGCCATAGCCGAGATCACTTTTACCTGCCGGTGCCTCTTACTCACCTGCTATTCACACTAGGAAGTGCCTAAAACATTTGTCCGAGATTTAAACACCGAATTTCGTGAAACGGCCGCGCCGCTACGTATACAGAATGTCTTAAAATTATGGTATTTCCGGGAAACGAGGGGTTGCCGAGGCGATTCGAAATAACTTTTTCCTCGGCGAAAATGCGATCCGCGGCTTTGTTAACGAGTTATCAACGAATCTCATTCAGGAATCACCCCTTTCCGGGTGTTGACATAATTATGGGACACCCTCGGTACATGATATCGACTCGATTCATGGGGGAACAATTGAGAAAATGGGAAACTTTAATTGCGAAACGATGGTCCGCCGAATCGTGAAATGCTCAGCGACGCGTTTCGGAAGCTGTTGCTCTCCTAGAGAAATGTTCCCGCTAAATTCTACGATTGTAATGATCGTTTTAACGATGCTAACCGATTGTTGTCGCAGAGATGGAGACCGCGAACCCCCAGTCGACGATAGCAACGACCTCGTTGGAGTTGAAGACAAGAAGAGCGCAGTTTCAGACGCAAGCTTCGACTTTGGACAACAGGAGGAGGCAAGCGGTATGCGTCAGAAGAGCCTACAAGAAGTATGGCACCAAAAGCAATCCTAATATCATTCTAGACGGGCTGAACATGACTGTGCCGAAAGGCTCGATGTAAGTTTCGTAGACCAAATTTGTTGTCATTCGAGGAAACGAAAACCTGCTTCTCGGACGATAAAACCGAGACCTTTGGTAGCTGCAGAAATACGATTATAAAAACACCGTATCCGAAACGGAATTAATGGAAACATTGCGTATTCTTATCATTTCATTTATCATTGTCCGAGAACCTGTTCGCAGAATACTTTAACGACGTCTGCGCGAATTTTAGCAAGAGCCTGCACAAATAGTTACAAAGTCCGCGTCGACCGTTGTTTTCGTTCCTCTATTTTTGCGATCTCAGATTCGCGTCGTTTTTCTCAGATAAAATAATTTCTTATTCCCTCGGATCCGAAGATCGGACGCCATCGAGACCGAGGATAGCGACATTTTTTCGGAAACACGCGTCCATCGTCGCGCGTTCGTTTCAGCTCGCTCGGTCGATCGTCTAGCTTTCCGTATAATTAATTTTCAACGTCAGTGGAACAGCGTTACGAGCGCAAAGTTCGCGCGAGAAAAAAAAGGATTCGCCTCCGCGGCGACGCTTCTGTGTGGCACAATGAAAACTTCGCGCGATAAATGTCAAATCGGATTTACGATTTCAGGCTTAACACTCGAGGAACCTGCCTAATAATGAAATCTACAGATAGGACTTTGCGAGCCGAACTTTTCGATAGGAACTTCGATAAATCGGTCCAGCTTCAACTATACGCGTTTTTCTCAGATACGGCTTACTTGGAGCGAGCGGTTGCGGAAAGACCACGTTGCTCTCGTGCATCGTTGGCCGGAGACGCTTGAACGCAGGCGAGATCTGGGTCCTGGGTGGCAAGCCAGGGTCCAAAGGTTCCGGTGTTCCCGGTCCACGAGTGGGCTACATGCCCCAGGAGATCGCGTTGTACGGAGAGTTCTCCATTCGAGAGACTTTCATTTATTTCGGTTGGTGCGCTGGAATGACGACGGATCAAGTGGAGGATAAGCTGGAGTTCCTCATCAAGGTGAGCGAAATAGCCTAATTAATTCTCGCCAGACACTTCTGACAACGTCCAAATAGTTTTCCGAATGGAATTCAAGATGTCCACGAAAAGCTGCTTTTACGAACAAATTGCATTGCCAAGCATGCCGCATCCGCAGATCCAACTATCAGAATGATTTCTAAACGAATCCTCTGCGACAGTTCTTGCAGTTACCATCGGAAAATCGGTTCGTCAAGAACCTCTCCGGAGGCCAGCAAAGGAGAGTGTCGTTCGCAGCAGCCCTGCTCGCCGATCCGGAACTATTGATCCTCGACGAGCCAACCGTGGGCGTGGATCCTGTTCTCCGTCAGAGCATCTGGGACCACCTGGTGCAAGTGACCAAGGATGACAACAAAACGATCATAATCACCACGCATTACATCGAGGAAACGAGGCAGGCCACCATCATCGGGCTGATGAGGGGCGGCAAGTTTTTAGCCGAGGAGTCTCCGAGGCGGCTGATGGAGATGCACAACGTGGAGAGTTTGGAAGACGTGTTCCTGAAGCTCAGCAAACGACAGAACATGGGTCTCCGAAGGCGTAGCAGCATCCTCAGCAGCGTTACCGGTGTACCTCCGGAAGTTGTACGTTTCCTCGCACGCGGTATCGTACGATCGTAACGCGATAATTTATTTTATATCGTCTGCTGATTTCCTAGGACGTCGACGACGAAATGAGCGGCGAGTTTGGGGATAACGTCAGCGTGTCCAGCCGGAGAAGAAGCGTCGCTATGAACGATGGAATTGTAATTAGAATCTTTGCTCTTGTCTCTGATTAAGATACGTATCTTGGAAGGGGATCTCTGTTGCGTTTGATAGATCGATATATCTGGATCCCACGTGTTTAGACACGCGTAACAAATATTCGAATGCAACAACAGAATTGGAAGTATTTTTATTTCATTTCGAAGTCGAAGAGTTATCCTCTGGCGGATAAGAGACACGATCCCAGTATTACGAAATAGTCCATGCAAATAGAAAGCGTAAAATCCCTTGGTTAAATTTGTCCTCCAAATGCCGAATATCTTTGAATTAAATTCAGTATACTTCGCTGATCAGGTGCCGGAGCTACCGCCGCCGGAGAAGGGCAGTAATTCCAAGATAAAGACCATCGATTCCCAGCACATGAAGGCTCTCGTGTGGAAGAACTTCCTGTGGATGTGGCGTAACGTAGGGTAAGCGCTTCACGGTGCTCTAAAAGCTATGCCTGATTAACCGATTAACCCGATTTATCTCTTTTAGCATAATGATGTTCATCATAGGTCTACCAGTGGTCCAGATCACCGTGTTTTGCCTCTCGATCGGCAGAGACCCGGCGAACCTCAATATAGCGATAGTCAACAACGAATTGAACAGCAGCATGGAGCCCTGCGTAGCACCGGTTGGCTGTGACTGGACGAGATTGAGCTGTCGGTTTCTTCAGCATCTCGAGAAGAGATCGTTGGTGTTTCGGCCGTACGACAACGACGCCGATGCCAGAAACGCTGTCGAACGAGGCTTGGCTTGGGCTGCCATCACTTTTCCTGCGAACTACAGTGAGTCACTCTCGGCGAGGCTCGAGGAGGGCAAGGATGTTGATGACTGGAGCGTCGAGTACTCTAACATGCTAATCACCATGGACATGTCCAGTGAGTTAATGGCTTTTAATGTTGATACTGATTTTAATACTGCAAGCACCGAGCATCCGAAATGAGCTTGCTGCTTCTTAGATAAATTGAAAATCGGTGTCCACGAAGAACCAACTCTAATATATCATTCGCTGGAATACCTTTTTTCTAGCGTTAGATGAATTTTAGTTGTACAAATCGAAAGTCCTCGTCTATTTGTCCTCGTCCTCGTTTAGATCAGCAAATTGGTCAGCTGCTTCAAAGAGATTTTTACTACTCCTACCAGGAATTCGCCGAGGATGTGACCGTAGCTTGCAATTACAGTAAAAAGCTAACGAATATCCCAATAAACGTGAGTAATATTCTTTGAAATAATGATAATTTAAAAGATGTTGCATCTCGTTCGGATTAACATGATGCTTTATACTATCCACAGTTCAAGAAACCCATTTATGGACCATTGGAGCCCAACTTCACCGATTTCGCGGCACCAGGAGTGATCTTGACGTAAAAAATAATATACACAATTGTAATTCGTTGCTAACAGTATGAACCAACGAAGACGATGTTTCAGAATCATCTTCTTCCTGTCTGTCGCCCTAACTTCCGGCGCCATGTTGCTGGAGAGGAACGAAGGTCTTCTGGAGCGATCTCTAGTTTCTGGTAAATAAACGATCTGTTAAATAACAACGGCGATAGCCAACGCGGCATACTTATCGTGTCTCGGTCGACAGGTATCACAGGAACAGAAATTCTCTTCGCCCAGGTGATAACACAGTTCGTGGTAATGATAGGGCAGACGCTTATGGTCTTGTTGGTCTCCTTTCCAGTCTTCAAGATCACCTGCGAAGGTGACATAGGCTGGATCAGCGTATTGACTATTCTTACCGGATTGTGCGGAATGTGTTTCGGTGAGAAATTTAACGATCGTTGGCTTTTCGGTATCTTTTTCTGTTAGGATTCATCTTTTATGTTAAATTATCACAGGATTCGTTGTTGCTTGTGTCTGCGAAAACGAAACAAGCGCTACTTACATGGCGATGGGCTCTTTCCTGCCCATTGTGATGTTATGCGGTATAATTTGGCCGATCGAAGGGATGCACCAGATTTTAAGGTACATCAGCTTCGTCCTGCCTTTGACGAAGAGCACGGAAGCCCTGAGGTCGATGCTGGCCAGAGGGTTATCTATATCCAGTCCAGTGGTTTACAGTGGCTTCATCTCCACTTTGATTTGGATATGCGTTTTCATGACGCTCGCGCTACTGTTAATTAAATTTAAGAAAGGATAGAATCGTGTAAATAACGCGTAAGTATTTTAGGGATTACTGTAACTCGCCGGGAGAAACAATCGAAAACGTCTGGAACCCAGTTTCGGAGAAATAGTCCCATAGATGATAAGCCAAACTAAATATAGTAAGTGAATCGTGTGAGTGCATTTGCTTTGTAAAATTCTGGGGATAGGAGTGAGTGAAATATGCGTCGAAAACGTAACATGTTCTTTGCTCAACGTGGTTGTATTATATTTATTCTAAGTATTGTCGTCCTGTTAAGGCATAGTTATGATACCATTTTATATAGTGCAATGGATAAGACATCTTTGTGTCGTGTTTGGATAGAAGGCCGCCAATGGTCATTTTATATTGCTTATAGCCAGTAAAGGTAGTTATACATTTTTTTTTTTTTATAAATTCGATCATACATTAAAACGAATGTATATAAAAATAAATTTTAGTCGACTGTCTAAATAAAACATACGGAAAATTAACGAAACATATATGGTACAAATGATATTCTCTCCTGATGTTCTAGTACCTTTAACCGAGAAGAGCAAACGTTTTCTTCAAATATCAGGATCTCCGATCAAGATGCCGTCAATACGATGGACAGGTTCGAACGAAATCAAGAATTCAGGTTCCTCTAAAAATATTTTAATAGAATTCCGTAGAGATTGGTAAAAAAAAACAATCGCGATAAAAAAGACACATATAGTAAATTGATATTCTTTAGAAACAGTCTTGTAATAATTGTACAAGTACACAGAATCCGTGATGCGTGTGAAGATGTTTGTATTTGTGTGTATGGTAGCAGCACTGCTTCAGTAGCGTGAATGCATTTAGGCTTTTAGTTTTATATTTCTTTCGGGAAGAACTTCCGTCGGTGTAAACTTATTCCGATTTTTATATTTGGGAATCGTTTCGAATCGTTTCTCTTTGCCCTCTCATGATCGTGCATCGAATCTGTTCGGAACAGACCACGATTTGTCCGCGATGTTCCGAGGATTATTCCCGTCCTGAAACATTTCAGGACAGCAAACCGCTCCTATTGGTCTCCTCTTGGCAGCAGATCAGAGAACTTTGTTTCTCATACGTCCCAGGCTCTCTATCTCCGTCTCTAGTACATCTCCACGCTGGAAAGCACAATTAAACGATACATTTAAAAATCTTTCATAGCTAAGAATATTTATCGGTTCTAATAATTTCTTTTTTTTACAAGAAACTCGCGGTACCTGTAAGTACTCGGGTGGTTTACGGGTGAAACCCACTCCAGCAGGTGTCCCAGTTAGAATCACGTCTCCTGGTAACAGAGTCATGAACCTAGAAACAAAATTGTATGTACACTCCTACCGCTGCAAACTAATTGCTAAATTATTTTTCACAATTCCAAGCATCCGTTGTAGCAAAGTGCCGGTACTTTTACCGATGCCTACTTACTGCGAGATGTAGGCAACGATTTCATGGGGTTTAAAGATCAGTTCGCTGGTGTTCCCATTCTGTTTCATGTTGCCGTTCACCCAAGTTTTCACGGTCAAATTGTTAATGTCGCCTATCGACTCTTTGGTGACCACGGCCGGTCCAAGAGGGCAGAACGTGTCCATGGCTTTACCAAGCAGGAACTGGCCGCCGTTTCTCTTCGACTTTTGCCAGTCCCGCGCTGTGATGTCTTGCGCCACTGTATAACCGAAAATATAATCCTTGCCTTCGTCATTTTTCAGCGCTTTACACTTTCTGCCGATTACTATCGCGAGCTCGGCCTCCCAGTCGACTTTCTGCCGGAAGAATTACAACACAACGATCAATTAACGTGGCATTACATTCGTTAAGATTTAGATATTCTAACCGTAGACTATGATAGCAAAACTGCATGTCTGATTCGACGGTCACAAAGGTCTACAAATGCCTGCTGAAACGTCTATATTTTTTGCAGATTTCACGGATGCTGGTTAAATTGTCAGCTTGATTATATATCTCAGATATTTGGAGAATAAATAGACCTCTGTGACCGCGACTGTACACATCCATGTTTAATCTTGCTTCTTTTTATAAAACACACGACAGAATTTGAATCCAAGATACAATTAAGAAAGTCCACTTACGGTAATAAACTTAAACTCACATAAAACGATTAATTGTTGTTGGGACAAGGGTAGCTGTTTCGTTGCGCGGTCGTTAAAACAGAATGTTTGGTCTGCAGCAGATTTAAATTCGAAAGTCGCGAAACGAATTCGTTCTCCCTCTCTTCGTAGCAGAGATTCTTATTAATAGTCCGCGAAAGTCCGTTAACACGTTACGTAATCGATGCAACTAAATATAAACGGTCGCTGCTAAAGCGGAAAGTGAACCGCCGGCGCCATTATAGATTCAGACCCCGCTATCGATCTTGAACTTACATCCGAAATCGAGGGTAGCATAATGTTGTCGCGCGGGCCGATAATGTTGCTGGGGAATTTGCTGAAAACTACAGGAGTTTCTGGCGTCGATACACCTTGCTCTTCGCAATGACCGCTATAGTTGAGCCCGACGCATGCCAGCTTGTCCATCCGTGTAACTGGCGCCAAGAAATTCACCTCAGCTTCCGGTATTACGCTCCGTCCCTCTGCCACGATCCTACAAATGATTTCTTCCGGTCACTTGTTGGGTAAGTTCAGATGCTCTTCGAAATTCTGTGCACCAGATTCGCACTGTTCAAACATTAGATTAGAGTCCTCTTCAAGGGAATCAAAACTAGCGCCAAGCTTAGCATTATCCGCTACGCGAGTTAGCTTAATTTTAGTAGGCAACACTGTTATTCATTGTTTCGGAAAAACTGCAAATCAGCTTTTAAGCACAGCATTGTCAGTGCGATCATTGGGTTTGGGATTAATTTCTTAGGTTCGTTCATCTTTATGAAGTGGTCAGGTGTTTCGCGATATCGAAGGGAAGCCATGCAATCGATGTGTTCGTATACATAGAGTGATCTCGCAAAGATAAATTATAGAGTGGTGTTTTCAAAGTGTAGTCATTTAGAATATTACGTACATTCCATGTTATGACAATGCAGAACATGTTTCGGAACGATGAAAAAAGATAAAGCCGGAGTCCCCAGATTAATTTTATCGTCACGCGATAGAGTCTCGTTATCTTGTGAATGTAGAATGAATGCAAAGAATTGTGCTGCGTAAGGATCGTATCACAAGCACTTTGTTTTGGAAGAATAACCGTACTCGAAGCAGAATCATATCAGCATTTTCTAATCTAAGTCTCGCTTCTTGCAGACGTTCGATAATTGTTTTGTCGATTCACGTCGAATTCGTTATATCATTCGAGACGGTTGAAGAATTATGTTTTGATCCTTTCGTTCTGAAACTTTTTTAGAGGACAGCGGAAAGACAGACGTTGGAGGCGCAAATGAGATAGGATCAAATTAAGCGACATCCCTGATCCTTTTCTAAATTAGTTCACCTTCAGGACCAATTCTGGGGCATTAGCTGAGCATCGCGTGAAAAATGAATTTCTGTTCATTGTTCCATTGAATTTGACACTTGATTCTGCACGATTGCCTCAGAGTATCGTTTGCATCGATAGAAACGAGATCTTTTCGTTTATTTCAAACAACACGTGCAGTTTATGATCCGACCGACGAGTATTATAACACGTTTTCTGACGATCCAATAACCGATCGTTTACAAATAAAAAACAATTGGATTGATTGGTTACCGAGGACGAGCCAATTGAGAAAACAAGCATTCTATGCACGCGATCGTGCTACAACAGGATATGATAGAGTAAGTAAACGATAACGAGGCATTCATTAACGTTACCGACCCGATGGAAATCGATCGAGCAGCATGAATGATCAAAAGCGATTATCAAAATGATCAGAAAGATATTCACGTCAAAAACGGATGTCGATTCCGCTGGATAATAACTGTCTCGATAGCAAACAAATCGTTATCACTTTGACAAAGCCAGGCTCAACGACGGATTATGGCGATTGACCCACAGAATGGCGCAGATCCTATGTTTTATACCAAACAAGTTATGGTCGAAGCAACAAAGGACGATCGAAACGGTTATTTTTCGAGGAAGCGAGTCAACTTGGGTGTTCGATAAAGGGTTGTGCGTGTTCTCAAATGGTAATCGAATGTTCACACACAATTATTGTAGGAAACAAATATTTCTCAAGGATTGAAGGGCGAAATCATTCCCACGCATCTGATAGAACGAACCTCTCTATCATGGCCCACAGGTCGACATCGTCTTCCCTGATAAAAAGAAACGGTTCATGGTGAAAACTGCGGATTTAAATGTTAAAAAGCTATCGTTATGTTAATGCTACTCGGTAGGTGGACTAGCAATTAAGAGAATTATGTTTCAGCGAACAATCGATTCTATTCTCGATGCGTTCCTAACGAATCTCCCTGAATGCAAGCTTGCCATGCCCATACGGTGCTAATTAATTTAGTCTTCCCGAAGCTACCTCTATTCGCAATTGCTTGTTCAAGCCAGTTTTATGACGCGCCCGGATCGTTTCATTATCAATTAATTGGCTAACGGGGTGGCCGTTGATATCCGATCCGCTTATCGCGAATTTGCCCGTTTCTTCTGACCTTGTTCAGCCACGCCTACCTTTTAGCCTTCTTCAATAGATCGTCGCCACCTTCGAGGAACTTTTTCAAAGTGTTCGGGATCCGCGAGTCGACCGCGGACACGGCGATTATATCTCCACCCTGTTTGAGCTGCACCCCCAGGTGCTGAGGTCCCCCATTCTTGCCGACGAATTGCACAAACCTGCAGAATTAATTGCAGTATAGTTTTCAGTGGGTAGTTTGATGGGTAGTACTCCAAGAATTCGTGATATCTATCATTTATAATTTCGAGTAATCATCTATATAAAAATAGCTCAGCGACGATACTTATCTGCGTTATTATTATTTATCGTCATCGTGGTATCATAAAAATATCGTTATACGTAAACAATTCTGATCATCGAACCGCGGGTTTGACCTAGCGAACATAAGTATGCGGAATTTTATCAAGCGCAATTTTTAACGGAGAATACGTATAATGGAATGATAATCCAGTATCTAAAACTGTACGTTATTTGCGAACTATTTCAAATGTGAAAGTCATTATGATAGCAGCACAGAGTTTGTTAAGATATACAGTCAATTCTCCCCGATATACTCTAATGTTTAAATATTCGTTTCAAGCATCGATTACAAATTTGCATTGTTGTTACATTGTCGTGAAAAAAATTCAATCCTTTATTTTTGCTGCAGCTTGAAGATAATAGAAATTGTCTCGAATCTGTTCGATTTCAATTTCTCGTTGGGCAGATGTTCACGCGTGTGCTGCACTACTGCATTGCTGACATTGTTATTCGCGACGCGAACCCATTTCTCGCATTAAACAGGTTCCCGTGAAAGCGAAAACAAATTCTTCTTCCCTGTGCTCTCACTTGAAAAGCAGAGCAAACGACCAGATCTCTCGCCGTTGCAAGAGTAGATTATTCTCTATGTCCTGGTATTTTTCCCCTAACGAAATATTAATAACGTGTGCTCAAATTTAAACAAAAATGAGACTCTCGATTCACCTGTATAACATAATCTAAGGAATTCTATCGATGAGATTTTATTATGCTTCAACACAATCGTGCTATAAAACCAAGTATTTCCATAAGTATCTACTAACCAAATATATTTGTACAGTTACATAAATTTGTACGACAGAATTAATACACGAACATGCGTCTCATATTTGCCATAACTAAAGTACAATATATCCTTATCAACTTTGTCAACATGGTTTAAGACACGGTAGCCGGTACACGAAGCGATGAACTCAGAATGATTTACAGTATGGTTCAATGAAATTCATTAGTTTTACAGAAAAATTTGGCTCGGAAATTGGCGAACGTCCGCTTGACTATCATTGCGTAATTTCCGTGAAAAAATAAGTCGTATAAAAAAAAAAACATTCGGAAAATATTCTGGATAATTTTATCGGGGCCTGTGCTGCCATCTGCACGGTTTCGAGTACGTGTTCAGTCAACGTTAATTCACGCATATGTGAAAAAATTATGTAAGCAACCGCCCTACGGGGAACGATAAGCAAAAATGAATGCGGGCGATACCAGTCGAATCTAATCGTACGTCTGGAACCGTCTGTTCAAGCAATTTCTTTAAATCTCATAATCTGTGTACACAATAAAGGATTCCACTAATCCTGGTGCTTAGTGGCCAATGTATCTGGTCACTTAAGTGTCTAACATCTTGTTGCAATATTTTACTATGATTTTTACAACTCTACGTACATCAAATATTTTACGATCTCAGATTTGGCAAGCTTGGTACTTGCTATTCAGAATGCTCTTATCCACGATTCGTGTTTCATCCTAATGCATTGCAGCATCGAACATACGCTTGACCTGTTAGCGTAACTCGAAAACTCGATTTCCTAGTTAGATTTTTAATTTGTAGTGAAAGTGGACGCCTTTCACTACTCCTTAATCCAACAATTAGCGCCATTTTCACTTTTGCTAATATTTCATAATAGACTCCAGTAAATTTTCTTTGCCTCAGGATACATTTATTTCGAAGGATGCTAATATATTATGTTAATTTCGCAATTTTGTCTATTATATCTCCGTTAAAATATCATCGCATTCACGTTAACAAACGCCTGGCCTGTTCCACAACGACACACGTCCGATTCGCCGCTAAGTTCAGCGTGTACGGCACCCAGCGAGTGTGCAAGTCCACAGACTTTCACAGTCGATGACATAATTGCGTTTAATTGAACGAATTCGGGTGTTAATATTAAATTAGCCGATAAATTTCACGCGCTAAATGCACGCATTAAACTGGTTAAATTGATTTCTACAATTTGCCCATTTTTAATTAGAGTCAGTGACACCGGGAGACCGATTATTGATCAGGTGGAAGAACCTTAAGAACCTGTCCCGAATTAATCCTGTAGAGCAGTACCTTTACAGTCACCGGTGTATCAGTGTATTGTAAATACAAATTTGGGTATTTAGGAACTCCATGCCCTCTCCGAATATAATACGTCACAGTATGAAACCAGCCCACGTTACCTTCGCAACGTGAGAATCGCATTTCGCGCGTGAATACGCCCGTATTTGTTAACATTGCGTGCCGTTCTCGAGCAAATCGATCTCCAGTCGTAGTCTACACCACAAGAACGAGACACGTTTTGGAGCAGAAAACACGATCAAAAATTTCGCGCGAAATTCGATCATCGCTGTGCACGCTTTAATGCCGGGTAACACTAGGGTAGTTTTTGGTTATCGACGCATTCGTTGCCGGTTCGAAATTTTGCATATGTATATATTCGACTCACCTCATGTCGAGCGCGCTGCTTACAGAGAAATTCCTGCCGAGAACGCTGGCTACGAAATGAGTGTTGCTATTATCCGCGCACGAGTTTTTAAATGCGAAACAGGCTCTGCCGAGTAATCGCAATTTGCCGCGATAAGGCATTTTTCTTGATTAGCAATAGAGCTGCTCACGTCTTAATAGGAATATATCGTACGATGAGAGATGTATCTATCGGTGAAGAGAAAAAGGCCGCTGCCAGCTAACTAATAGAGACAGAGCATTCGTCGCGAAGGACGAACTACGACTGAACACGTTACACCACTCTAGCGTTCCCCGGACCGATGGTAGAGGGCGAGCCACGTGATCTGGGCAAAAAAGTTCACATTATATACATATTCAGATTCGAAACTTTGAAAGTGACCGGTGATCGCTCCGATTGTGATTATCGTGTAACAACAAACGACCGACGACGTTACCTCGATCGACGATCAAATACATCAACGGACAGCTTTTGCCGAATACCGAGAAGATTGATAGAAATCGATCGCGTGACCGTAATTGATTGCACAAGTCATGTGCTGAACAGCGTTCGGTACCGAAGCACTTCCGGTTGCTTCACCATCAAATTTTTAAAATGAAACATTGGGTATCGACACAATTTTATATATTAAACCAAACTGCTAGTATTAAATAACATTTCTCGACGGATTATTATTTTTGTTCAATGAAAAATGCACATGTCAGAATGAAAGTACTTTGGTATGTGTTCGTAAATACAGTACTGAATACATGTCTCTATCTATACAGTAAAGGTATTTAAGGTACTGGCTTCTTTCTTGTACAAGGGAATTCTTCACGTTCGTGGTATGGATTGTACGGGTCTTCTGGATAATAATGAGGCCTTTTCCAATACATTGTTACCATTTTGTCCAATAAAGTCGACTGTGTAGCATTTACAAAAACATGTTGTCTCAGTTTACGTTTTCTATTTGCTTTCTTTGCCCAGAGTTTTCTAGAACGGCCAGCACGTGTTCTAATCCATATACCCCTGTGATCGAATGAAATATGTTAACGGTAAACTTTAAGTATCACGGATCATAACTCCAGGCTTACCAATTTAATCTGTAAAATCGTTTAAGTACAGCTTTGCAACTCTTCCTTTTTCCTTTATTCTTAGAGAACTTTGTAATTGTTCTCGCAGATGTTAGATTAGATGAAACTGTTGAAGGAATAATATTTCCTACGCGTTTCTGACTGTAAATTTGATGACATCATTAATTATGTTCTTGCTTAATGTCTCATAATTTAAATAATCATACCATAACACTGTTTCTGATTCAATTGTGCCAATATTGTGCCACTTATTAATAATGGAGGAAAATGCTCCAAAACATCTTTCTTGTGCATGTTGAGTCGAAGGATACTGTTTGAAGACCAAGGAATTTGTGACAGCACCAATATTTGCACGAGCAACAATTCCTAAAACACATGAAACAAAATAAACATTAGTATCGATTCAATGGGACGTTTGAATACGCGCGCCCTCGGTCCAATTCCGGCATTTCTTCTGTTAACCGAAATGGCTCTCCCGCACAGCCGAACATAACCTCCAAGATATAGAACATCGACCGATTAACGTGCAAGGATTTATTGAATTTGATCGAATAATGGCTTAAAATGAAGCCAACGAACTATCCTTTAGCCAGAGAAAGCTACTGGTGGTAAAGTCACAGAAAAACTGAAGAGTACGCACCTCGAACCGCGGTACTAACGATACGCAACATTCTTCTTTTCGAGCAGTCAGTCAGTGACCAGCTGTTTTGTGCCGTCGTTCCCTTTTTCCTTTGGCTGTCTGACCGGCCACCCGAAAGATGTTCCGAATTGGATTAAAATTTCCGTGCAACGGTCTAAATAGGGTATCTAAAGTAAGTATGAGAGAAGTCTTCGTGTCCGTGCGAGTTAATTGTTTCGGCAACACGCGGGTCGAAAAGAAATTACGAATGGAACGCGAGTAAAAAGCGCTCTTCGCTACGCACTGTCTGACTATTGTCGCGACGTTTCTCCTAATAATATTTAGTTTGCTGTCGTTGTTTCCTGCGATTTCTGAAAGAAAAAGTGTGTGATTCGTGCGGGAATTCGTAATTGTGTCACGTCGAACACATTTTCGCGAGTTGTCAGTGAATATTCTTGTGGACAAGACCAAGGTTGCGCGCCTCGCGTGACAAGATGGCTTAAATTCAGGAGCTTACATAATTCCAGACGATTTCATTGACACCGTTGCCCTTTCAGATAAAAAAACATGGACCCTCCAGACTCTACCTGTCAACTAGATGTTACGAGACACGAACACGAGTCAAGTGCGAGCCGGACTGGAGGTATGTGAGCAAATTTTTTGGTTGTTTGCTTACTGATTTTTATAATTGTCAGAGCTGTCATCACGTTTAAACGGACGAAACTATTTCTTCTTTCGTTTCTCCGCGTTTTCGATAACTTACAGTAACGGATAATTATAAATTTCTTATGTTTTATGTCATCTTTGAGTTAGATTTAGATTAGGTTATGTTTGATACAAATGTCTTGATGGGATTATCATTTTTTTTGAAGAGTCTATCAAGTTTTCTTCGAAATTCTGTTGGTTTAAAATTATTTAAATTACTCTAGATTTATTGTTAAGAATATTTTTATAATATCTATAATTATTTAGTTATTATAGTACTAAAAATAAACATGTACATATATCTTTTGTTGCGTATATATGTCTGCTTTAAATATTATATCGAGTGGGATAGATGAGAACATTTGATGCGAGCATAGTTGTATGTTTTAGGTTTTTCAAGGATGTCAAACTTACGTCCAGAGTATCTGGACATAGGTATTCAACTGATTCGTCAAAGAGGTATTCAGAATTTAAACCTAGTTGCATTATACCGTGTACATTATGTAACAAAGTTGTATGCATGGTCCCATTAACCATTGACTTGTTTGCAACAGGTTTAAGTGCTGGCAATAAAATATATATGTTAGATAAATCAAGATAAATTTGTACTTTAGAATATTTTAAGTTTCTTACAGCATTTGATTTGTAAATTGTCTTATCCCTTGCTTTGTCATTGTTTGCAAAATGACTTGGTGTTATATCTAAACATATACTTTACTGTGCAAGCGAGAAAAGCCGAGGAGGTGGAGGAATACTCGTAACTCTGACTGCAGTTGCAATAGGAGCATCGGGGATATTATATTATGCAAAAAATAATCCAGAATTCCGTGCAACTCTTGAAGGATGGGTACCAGGCACGGACAAAACGATTCAGATCATCTTTCAGGAAGAGACAACATATTTCGAGTTTATACGTTCGTTCTTTGAGTCGCTCAAACAATCGTTAGTATACATAGACTAAAATACTTCTACTTTATAGTAGCTATGCAATACTTTGCTGACAAAGTAAATTGTTTCAGTATCGTAACTGCCATATTTGGAGAAAGCTCAGAGAAACCAGGTCAGCCATTTGGAAAAACTATAGATTGCATGAATCTTGAAGATTATATACGTGAGCTCCCATCACTGATTCCCAAATCCTTCTTACCTCTAAATCTTTCATATCCTACCAATCGTAATATGTAAATGATATTAATATATATAAAAAACTTTTTGTTTTACACTGCGATTAATTCGCTCGCTAACATTTTGCAATAACATGTGTACTGTAGCGCCAAAACCTGCGTTTGTACCACTGGTTGATAAGAAGGAACCACCTAATAATGAACCTTACACTGAAATAAGATTAAGTAAAGGAGACTCGGTAGAAGTTGGTACGTTCTTTTTTATTTAGTAAATTGTTTCACGTAATTAAAATTTCTTATATATTTTTATAAACGAACTAATCGATTCACGTATTTTTAGTCGCCGATAAGCCTGCTCCACCTGCTAAAGATACACCCAAAGAACTTATACCAGAAAGTCTGGTGGAGCTAGAAACTCTATGCGGGCAAACTGCGTCTAAGGTGATCCAGGCTTACCAGAAAGCATCGTGTGCCATTCAAGACTACAACAAAGATGTGATCAAAGTATTGGAAACCGTCGATAGTGCTGGTAGTGCTGTGTGGAATAGGTATTTTCTTTCTGGAGTAATTTACAACCTTTTCGTGGTCTCGTAGGTATAGCAAAGTATTTCTACATTACAGATTGAAGGAAGCAACAGAGAAAAGGTCGAATGCAATTCAGGAGGCTGAAGAACATAAGACCGAGACATCGGAATCCCTCAAGAAAATGTTACATCTAATCGACGATCCTAAACTGGACGCACCGTCGCACATGAAGACAGCTGCTCGGAGAAACATCAAAAAAATCTTGTCCGACGTCGACGACGCTCAGAAAAACTACGAGTCAGAACTACAATCTGGCAGTATTACGGAGAAGTATTGGAAGGAGGTGAAAGCAGCTCGCGAAGGTCTCGCCGAGGAACTGCAGATCCTATTCGCAGATGTCAATATCAACGAGAAGAAGTTGGCTGTCGATGAAGACTCTTTCGATTTGTTCGTTCTCCATATGATGAACAAAGTAAACAACCTGCAAAAGGAACTGGCGAAACTAAGGGTAAGTGTTTTTCTTTTTTTGTTTGCGTTGTGATTACATTGGGTGATGTTCATACATGTTGATTGTTGTATTACAGACAGTTTACGAGGCCAGATTGAAGACAGCGTTAAGAGCGGGCGGCGACTCAGCGTCCCAGGCTCAACTGGACGCATTGGTGTGCTTAGAGCTAGACAAAGAGAAGCTGATCCTCGAGGAGGAGTTCGGTAAAAAGGTAGGATAATTAACCACGTTATTATCCGCCTGACACATTTGCAGTTTCTATATGGCCGCGCCGCGGTCGCGTTTATTCGTACACGCAGTCGTATATCTAAATGAAATAAAGCAAAACTTTTACATGCGACCGAGAAAGATTCAGCGTCCCACATTGTTCGGCGATAATTCATACGCGCTACCGCGAAAGTTTGGATTTATGATTTTGCGCGTTCATTTCAAAATTATTGCAGTTATGATAGTATTTAGAGATCTCTTGGAAATAAAAAATCTGTTTCGAGCTTAAAGCTCTTTGTTGGGCGAGACACGCACGAAATTTTATTTTCTTCAGAAGAAACTGTCGCAGGTCAATTATTTTCTAATCGAAGCGTTGTAAAACATATTTTGTTAATTTCAGTAATTTTTTTTTTGTCGGAATATGAACTATTCCAAACAGTATTTTCCATCATTTGTTCTTATATCTCAATTTTTCAGTTTTCAGCCTCGAGGAAATCGTATCATATCATATCAATTTTCGCGAGTTTTGTCTAAATATATGCATGACGTTCTACAGTCTCGCATCCGATATAATTAGAAACATCGGTCGTAAATGTACAAAATATCATCACCTGACAGCTTGCTTATGCAACTCTGTTCTCATTCATGTGGAGAGTGTCCAATATGCAGGTGCTCTACAAAATCAAAGATATCTACTGGCTGTACTGAGAAATACATGTACTCGGTGTTCTAGAAGTAGGTTCTTGGAAAGTTCAAAATATCATAGTACCATCTAATTCTGTAGTATACTTTTCATTGTCTTTTACGTTAAAAGCTTGGACAATCGTTGTACAGTCTAGTGGACATTTTAAATCAATTTTTACAGAAATAATCATAAATAAATCTTCGAGTTGCGAGCATCTCCAGTGAACACGGAGGGCAGGATATCTACAGGTTTTATTTGGTGTGCAGGGTGTGCCAAAGTTTAAAGGACGTTACGTGGGCACAGGGTTACAGATCCGCTTGTTTTATTACTACCAGATGGAGACAATTCGACGTTGCACAAAATCGAAATGGGGGGGGATCAATATTCAATGTTAGCGGAAAGTTCGGTCGTTACGTTTTAGGCATTCGGTATAGAGAAGCGTTTCATGGTACAGAAAGAATTTGGCATTGGAAAGAGCGGGCCGTACACTGTCACACAGGCATTATGTATGTATACACATGGGATGTGGCATATTCCATATCCTGCAATCGTGCATGTACCTGTATATATCCGACGGTTTGGCATCTGGCGGGGGACGCAGTGGGGCGCAGAGAGAGAGAGAGAGAGAGAGAGAGAGAGAGAGAGAGAGAGAGAGAGTGAGAGAGAGAGGCAGAGGGGAGCAGAGGCGGCGGACGCAGGGTTCTGCCACCCTTCGGGCTTTTTATCTATTTCCATTTGGCCCGTTGCCAATATTTCGCTAGTGGGAGGCAATATTATCTCTTTAGACTAGCCCCCGACGGTATATCCGGCGTGTACGCCACTAGTCACACCAAGACATCCCGGCGAAACCACTATGACGCGCTGTCGTCATAGTTGTCTGACTATCTGCATATACCGAAGTCCGTTTCGTTGGTTTAGTTTCACAGGGTGTAACGGCATTATAATTGTTTCTTGGGGTATTTTAGGAGAAGACCCTAAACTTTTATATATATATATATACCCCGCAAGGATTAATTAATTTATTATTGAATTATATTGAATTATATATTTAGAATTAATTAATTATTCTTCACATTCAATTTCTTAAAATTTTTTCTTCTTGTTGCGTGGGTACGCAACTATCGACGAGTTGTAAGAAAGGCAGAAATATATTAGTTTCAAACAGAATTTCTGAATAATTCTTTGGTAAAAATTGCAAGCTGTTGTACGCTACAGAATTCTAAAATAAATAATACCAAACAATTCGTTTTTTATGAAAAACCGTAACGTCAAAAATATTTCTGCATTCTGTGGGCGTTCGAGTTTAATTTCATCCGAAGGCTTGTCTTCCGAATCGTTTCTTCAGCTTACTTTCGCAAACACTGGAGTGTTTTTTACTGTTGTACTTTGTTGTTGAACTGTTTGCGGCGTGGGCGGACAACGAGCGGTGCTAATCGTAAACCTTACGACCCACTATCTTTGTTGTTTTTATGACAGGGACGCTTGTAACAGAAGTTGTTGCCAATTTGACTCGAAAACCCGTCGTTGTACAAGGTTATCCTAATCGATTCGCGCAGATGGGACTTTTCCGCAGATTTATCGCATCGATTTCAAGAAGCAGGGGCTACACAGAGCATCGCGAATAGCGTAATAGAATTCCGCCGTGGGATCCATAAAAATTCCATTTTGAAAATCTTAAGATTCCGATCAGCGCCGTTTGAGAACCGTAAAAGAGAACATTTAACGATTAGACGACACGGCAAATCGCGATGAATAATCTTAGCGATTCCTGATCATTCGAAGTTTCTCGGATCTTCGACGATCTTTGCCTCTGATTTTACGATCCTCTTTTACGACTTTCGCGTCGGACGATCGCATAAAAGTCTCGAATCGTTGGNAGAGAGTGAGAGAGAGAGGCAGAGGGGAGCAGAGGCGGCGGACGCAGGGTTCTGCCACCCTTCGGGCTTTTTATCTATTTCCATTTGGCCCGTTGCCAATATTTCGCTAGTGGGAGGCAATATTATCTCTTTAGACTAGCCCCCGACGGTATATCCGGCGTGTACGCCACTAGTCACACCAAGACATCCCGGCGAAACCACTATGACGCGCTGTCGTCATAGTTGTCTGACTATCTGCATATACCGAAGTCCGTTTCGTTGGTTTAGTTTCACAGGGTGTAACGGCATTATAATTGTTTCTTGGGGTATTTTAGGAGAAGACCCTAAACTTTTATATATATATATATACCCCGCAAGGATTAATTAATTTATTATTGAATTATATTGAATTATATATTTAGAATTAATTAATTATTCTTCACATTCAATTTCTTAAAATTTTTTCTTCTTGTTGCGTGGGTACGCAACTATCGACGAGTTGTAAGAAAGGCAGAAATATATTAGTTTCAAACAGAATTTCTGAATAATTCTTTGGTAAAAATTGCAAGCTGTTGTACGCTACAGAATTCTAAAATAAATAATACCAAACAATTCGTTTTTTATGAAAAACCGTAACGTCAAAAATATTTCTGCATTCTGTGGGCGTTCGAGTTTAATTTCATCCGAAGGCTTGTCTTCCGAATCGTTTCTTCAGCTTACTTTCGCAAACACTGGAGTGTTTTTTACTGTTGTACTTTGTTGTTGAACTGTTTGCGGCGTGGGCGGACAACGAGCGGTGCTAATCGTAAACCTTACGACCCACTATCTTTGTTGTTTTTATGACAGGGACGCTTGTAACAGAAGTTGTTGCCAATTTGACTCGAAAACCCGTCGTTGTACAAGGTTATCCTAATCGATTCGCGCAGATGGGACTTTTCCGCAGATTTATCGCATCGATTTCAAGAAGCAGGGGCTACACAGAGCATCGCGAATAGCGTAATAGAATTCCGCCGTGGGATCCATAAAAATTCCATTTTGAAAATCTTAAGATTCCGATCAGCGCCGTTTGAGAACCGTAAAAGAGAACATTTAACGATTAGACGACACGGCAAATCGCGATGAATAATCTTAGCGATTCCTGATCATTCGAAGTTTCTCGGATCTTCGACGATCTTTGCCTCTGATTTTACGATCCTCTTTTACGACTTTCGCGTCGGACGATCGCATAAAAGTCTCGAATCGTTGGGAAAACCGTCCGAGTAATTCGCGAGTCGATCGGATCGCGATTTCCGATGAAAATTTGACCGATCGTTTTACCGATTACGGACGCCGGCTCGGGAATTTCGTTTCCCGTCGACGCGACGCGACTGTTAAACAAGTAGCCCCGCGGTCTCGCCCGTGTTTCCCTCCAATTATCATTTCAAATTTATTCGTTTAATCGCGCCGGCATTGAATCGCGGCCTCGGTTTAACGTTAGGACCGAATGTAATGGCGGATTAAACATTGGTACGTCTCTTATTGGAACGGGACCGGTTCCATGATCCCGCGGTTCTTAATTATTCAGCGACCGTTGTGCGATTCGATCCGACGTGAAATGACTCGGAACACGTGATGTTTCTTCGGCAAACAGTGCCACCGATCACCGATCTTTCCTCCATCGTTTTCAATTCGTGATCGGACACTGCCGTTGTTCTTCGACCGGATAATGAAAATTTCACTCGTCGTTGATTGTCGATGTGCCACCAACGGTCTCGGAATTAATTCTGGACAGGTTATATACTGTAGACTCCGGATGAAAAGTAGGATACAGATTCTAGAATCTTCTTCGTATCAGCGGCTGCTTCATCGATAAGCCTAATTCGCCTTTCTTTTGACAAAATAGGAAAAACGAATGCTCGACGTTCGTGCCGGATTCTCGGAGTTCCGCGGTATTCTTCTAGCAGTTTCATGCAACGGACTGAACAAACGCGGGTAATAATTCCCGCTGGCGATAAAGCAGCGTCCGATAATAGGATAATGTCGTTGCCATTCGTCGCCGTTCCAGAGTGAGATGTTTGCCGGTATTTCGGCCTCGTCCCAGAAGATTCGAGGGAATTCTTAGTATCGGGATCGGGATCGGGACCAAGAGAAGTGTGACGCGAGTCGTATATCCGGTTTTACGGCGGCAACCGCCGACTTTAGGAAACATATTGCCCGAAGAATCGTTGTCGTCCGCCGCGGCCGGGTCGGGTCGGGCCGGGCCCAGGCCGGGCCGCTGCGAAAATGTGGCCGGCGTGTTTCACGTTTTACGTTTCACTGCCGTTCGTAAATCGAGGAATTCCCACGTTCGAGGCAGATGGGATCGGACGTTTTCGATCTTTTGCTCTCTCTCTCTCTCTCTCTCTCTCTCTCTCTCTCTCTCTCTCTCTCT